CGCGAGGACGCCGTCCGCGTCCATCCACCCGTTGGGATGTGCGGCGACCACGACATCTGCACATCCGCACAACGGTGAGAATGGCATCAGTTGCAAAAAAAAAAACAACACATACAAATCCAACCGGGACTGCACAAGCTGCTCGGCTTACCGGAGGGGAAATCCCCCTTTGGAACTGTCTTGCGCTTAAAGAAAACCCAAGGCTTGAGCTTCTCGCCACTGGCGGTGCAGGCGAGTATCACCGTCACGCGTTCCTTTTGATAGCCGCCGCTGCGGATGGGCACGGAGCGCACCCCCACCTCCTCGACCGTGCGTTCAGCTGGCATTTCGAGCCAGAGCGGGGTTTGATCCGCATTAATGATCCAGCGGTTGTCGATGGCATACTGTCGGCGGGTGTGTCGCACGAACTTCCAGAAGTTCCGCACCTGCGTCTCGCACTCTGGAAGGGACGGGGAGGCAGAAACGATAAAAAAAAAAAAACATGAGCACGGTTGGCAACAGGGATAAACAAGAGCTACGACAATTACACCGATTCACTGGAGGAAAGTTTCTGTCCGACACGGGTCTTCGCTCGGGTAGTGAGATTCCAGCGGCGCCGAAATCGCTCGGTCCACCTCTGAGATCCCGCCCATTTTACCTCAGGATGCAGGCTCTTCATCACCTCTCGCGACCACTGCTGCAGGCGGCCGACCGACACTGCGAGGCACTTTTTTCGGGCGGCAAGAACTTGTGAGTAGACCTGGATCTCCATGTCGCGGTACCACGACGACCGACCACGCCCGTGAAGACGCTTGCGAGCCCCATGCGCGCCCTCCAGCTCACCCTTCCGCGATTTCCATTCTGCCAGGGACTTTCGGGAGATGCCAGTGTCGCGCGCCATCTTTCGCACACTCACAGCACCAGACTCCAGCTGTGAAATCCAGTGCAGCTTCTCCTGAGAAGTATAGGAGTGGCGCTTGTGCCTTGAGCGCCTACTCCTACAAGACGGGGGGGGGGATCACGATTCTGGGTGGAGGGGTGGGGCCTCTTTTTATTTGGCGGGGGGAAACTTGGGACAGGCAAGTCCTCGGGAAGACCGTCGGCCGCCCACCACTCAACGTCGTCTTCGGCACCGGTGGCGGATTCGTCGTGCGGGCAGTCTTCCGGGTCTCCCCAGCGTGGCGAAAGACCGGGACCGGTTTCATCTTCGTCGCTGCGCTCGGGCTCGGGCTCGCTCGGAGACGTACGTGTCGAAAGCAGAGTAGCCGCGAGGAAGAAGCTGCAGAACGGGCACACCGTTGATGACGACGTTGGGAGGAGCGGGAGGAGTAGGAGGCGCCAGAGGAGCAGGAGGCGCAGGAGGAGCAGGAGGCGCAGGAGGAGCAGGAGGTATGGGAGCTGGGCGACTCTGCCACTGAGTGTAATCGGGAGTCTTGGCAGCAGCACCTCGGCGGTTAGAGAGAAAGTGGGTGCCTGGAAGGCCCGCCATGGCAGAGGCAGGCCGAGAGAAAACAAGAAACTTGGAAAAAACGGTGAGAATGAGGCCTGTTTGAAGCCCTCGCCCGAGACCCCTCCAACTTCGCGGCCCGAGTTCCTCTGCATGGAGAAGGACTACACGGTCAGGATCTCACCGCAGAGGAGCTGATGTGGTGCGGTGGGGGCGTTGTTGGCAAGGAATCTTGCCGCATATGCCCGGTTAGTGGTTGTTCTGCGTCGTGGTTGGCACGGCCATCGACCCTGATTGGGCAGTTTTACATTAAACAGCGTGTGCGCTGGCATGCGCGAGATTCATGTACGACGAATCTAGCCAGGCCAACAAGGCGTGGCTGCAATGATGCCACGCCTTGTTGGCCATTTGACGCGTTTTTCATGCACGGGTACGAGCATTCTGGATGTGGATAGAATCCCGTTTGAAAACGCATCAGTTACATGTAAAAAAAACATATTTCACATTTGCCATTTTATAGTCGCCGGCGCTTATAAAAATCCTCGATTAAAAGCGCACCCCCAAAAAAACAGTGTTTTATTGTACCCCCAGGGGCGCTTTTATCCGGGGGCTGACGGTTCTGTACGTAGACAACAAGGCTGCTATTACCTTTTATGAGGAGCACAAACTGGAGCACTGAACGAAGCACATCGCTCTGCGGTACTTCCTTGCTCGAGAGTTGCAGCAGCGTGGTCAGCTTCGTGTTGCTTACGTGACCACCTGGGCCAACACTACTGATATATTCACCAAGGCACTTCCGTCTGGTGATCATCAGCGCTTCTGTACTGTGCTAGGCCTTGTGCCTGTTTCGTCTCACTTGCTCACTTCGTGACTTTGCTTGTACTGTGATTAATATATTTACCTGCATGCTTGCTCTTGCTAGGTAGTGATCACTGTACTATTGTTGTTGCATATATACCTCTGCATGTGAACTGGCCTTGTGGCCCTTTGCTTGTGCTCGGAGTGTGTGGTGACGTTGTGATCCACCCTGAGCTTGCTTTGCTTTTCTTGACTAGTCTTGTGACCCCTTGCTCTCCCCCACTTTGCCTATGGGGGTGTGTCAAACTATATCTGTGCTAGTTCTGTGTAGGCTATAGTGGGGTAGCCCATATGGGGTACAACCCAAATTAGGGTTAGTACTTGTACCTAGATTTCATTCAATGCACTCATTCCTTCTTGCTATCTTAACAAATTACAGGGGTTCACGGTACATGACTATGGGTACATTCCGTTGTGGACAGCGTCCCAATCTATAAGTCCCAATCGATTCTACCGCACTGCATCTTATTACACCGAATTACACCCTAGTTTCAAAATTTGCGCTACTCTGGTTTAGCTCGGTTCGGAGCGGTACACCCGATTGGGACATGTACGATTGGGACATGTCCAGCGCGGAATGTACCCTATATTGTACACAACAATACAAAACAATGATGCACAAACAAAAGAAAAGCTCGCTTTGAAACCCACTAAGTCCGCTTCGAAGCCCGCTTTGAAAGTCCACTTCAAGTCCATAATTTTTTTTAGCGTGTGAACCATTCCATCAGCGGAAAAACCAAGGAACCAGGAGCAGGATGCCATGGCATGGCATGCGGTGACCCACAGGGGCTGCAGGAGAGTGACACACTGCTCACACTCTTTGCCCATTCAAATCAACCCTTAATAATATCCTGTTGGGGGTGATCGCATGCACTTGCCGTTCCGCATGGTGTATCCAGTCTTGCAGCGACACACTGGATTGTTGGCCACCACTGCACACTCTGCATTGCGGGGACAGGCACGCTTGCAAACGGCTGCCATAGGTTAATGGAGAGCACAGTAGATGGGGGATGAATATGGAGTGTTAATGTACCATTCAAAATGGTAAGTTGAGAGTGAAAGACATCTTAAACGTTACATGAACATTGGTTGTAACGAGGAGCAAAAATAAAACGGATGGAAAAAGGCCAAACACAATGCAATCTCAGTGAGTGTAGACAGCTGTGGGTGTGAGTGGTTCAATGAAAGCAGGAACCTAAAAAGCCACAGGAGCTTCCACAGGAGTTTAGTTTGAGCTTGAAGTTGGCAGCCACTCACCAGTGCACAGACCGTTCTTGTTGGTGTAGCCGGGGCTACAGTCCCAAACCGCTTTACCATACTTCACCACACACACCGTATTTGCAGCACCGCTGCCAGCCGCACAGGAATCGGAGTCTGGGTCAGGGAGGGAGCAAGTGAGGGAGGGGACAAGTGAGGGAGGGGGGATCACGAGGGTGAGAAGGAAGAGTGGGAGGGAAAAGAGAGAGGAGCAAAAGGGTGAGATGGAAGAGGAAGAGAAGCAAGAGCGAGATGCGAGAGGGTGAGAAGAAAGAGGGTGAGAGACGAGAGGGTGAAGCGAGAGAGTGAGAGGCAAGAGGGTGGGAAGGAAGAGGGAAAGAAGGGAGGGAAAGAAGGAGAGGAGAGGAGGAAGAGGGCAAGAAGATGGAGAGAAGAAGAGAGAAGGAAGAGGGAGAGAAGGGAGGGAAACAAGGAGAGGAGAGGAGGAAGAGGGCAAGAAGAGGGAGAGAAGGAAGAGAGAAAGAAGAGGGAGAGGATGAGGAGGCTCACCAAGGCACTGGCCGTCTGTCATGGTGAGCCCCTTATTGCAGATGCAGGGCAGGTCGGCAGTGGCATTGCAGGTGGAGTTGGTCGGACACACAATGGTGGCACAGGAGGGTGGGGGCGCTGTGCACAGCAGGACAGGTACAAGAGAGAAGAGGTTACAGAAAAAAGCAAGAATAGAGGAGATTGCTTGTCCTTGGCGCGACTCCATACCGCAATGTCAAGGGGGCGAAAGCCAAGAGTGAGAGGCAAAAGGGTGAGATAGAGTCAGAGTCAAACGGATGAGAAGCAAGAGGGAGAGAAGTAAGAGTGAGAGCTTTAGGGCGAGAACCAAGAGAGAGAGGCAAGAGGGATAGAAGGAAGTGTAAGAGACACGAGGTTGAGAAGCAGGAGTGGGAGGAGAGCAAGGAGAAAAGTTAGAGAAAGAGAAGGAAGAGGGGGTGAATAAACAAGGAGAGAAGGAAGCGAGAGAGAAGGAGGAGGATGAGAGAGAAGTAGAAGAGAAAGAAGAGGGAGAGAAGGAGGAGGTTCACCAACGCACTGGCCGTCTGTCATGGTGAGCCCCTTATTGCAGATGCAGGGCGGGTCAGCAGTGGCATTGCAGGTGGAGTTGGTCGGACACACAATGGTGGCACAGGAGGGTGGGGGCGCTGCACACAGCAGGGCAGGGGCGAGCAAGGCACAAGGCAAACAAGGGACGAGCAAGAGGATGAAAAGCAAGAGGAAGAGGCAACAAGGTAAAAAGGAACAAGGAGAGAAGCAAGAGTGAGGGGCAAGAGAGCGAGAAGGAAAAGTGGGAGGAAGAGAGTGAGAAGCAAAAGGGGATCAAGTACGCGAGAAGCAAGAGGGGGATGCAACAACGTGAGAAGGAAGAGGGAGAGAAGCAAGAATGTGGGGCAAGAGGGCGAGAAGGAAAAGTGAGAGGCAATAACACGACAATGAAGAGGGAGAGACGTTAAGAGTGAAGCGAAAGAGGGTGAGAAGGAAGAATGAGAGGGAAGAGGGTGAGAAGCAAGAGTGAGAGGCAAGATGGTAAGGAGGTAGCGCGAGAGTCAAGAGGGCGAGAAGAAAAGGTGAGAGGCAAGAGGATAAGAAGGAACACGGCGAAAGAACACGGCGAGAAGGATGAGGAGAGCAGGAAGAGGAGAGGAGGAAGAGGGGAGGAGGAAGAGGAGAGGAGGAAGAGGGTGAAAAGAAAGATGAAGTGAAGGAAGAGCGAGGGAAAAGAATATTGGGAGAAGGAAAGAGAGAGCAGGAAGAAGCTGAGAAGGAAAAGGGTGACGAGGAAGCGGTAGAGAAGGAGGAGGCTCACCAAGGCACTGGCCGTCTGTCATGGTGAGCCCCTTATTGCAGATGCAGGGTGGGTCGGCAGTGGCATTGCAGGTGGAGTTGGTCGGACACACAATGGTGGCACAGGAGGGTGGGGGCGCTGCACACAGCAGGGCAGGTACACGAGAGAAGAGGTTACGGAAAAAAAAGGCAAGAGTAGAGGAGATGGTTGAGCGGCATAGGTGACTGTTGAGTGATTTTGGCACGTGTTGGCAGCGACACTGTAATGGGAGTCATGAGGGTGTCACGCACTGCACTGGCAAGGTGCAGGAAATAACACAATATCCACACCCCAATAACACAATATCCACACCCCAAGAACAAAATATCCACACCCCAAAAAGCTCCACTGTCACCCACCCACGAATGAGCTTGCTTTTCTTTTGATGCACTCACATTCACCGATGAAGCGCGACTCATTACCGCATTGCTTGCCCTCGGAGCGACTCATTACCGCATTGCTTGTCCTTGGCGTAGAAGAGTAGAGACCCCGGGCACACACACTGGTCCTTGCCGTCCCTCACAATGCACTTGGCAGTTGACCCACAGTCCGCATTGCAGCCTGTGGGACAAGCATGGGGCGTGTGTAGGCAGAGAGCAGGGAGGAGCAGAACAGCGAGGTTCACAGTTCAACTTTAACAGTTCAAACTCAAAGACGATCCTTTCTCGGTTAAAACCAGGGTTGTCAGGATAGTAGTGGGCGTGCAATTGAGCAGGTGCGCAGCAAAGGAGTGATGGCTTGGCTGCTGCGTGGCAAGCTATGGGGAGTCGTAGGCGTGAAGCACGGTGCAGTGCAGTGCGGGCGATGGGCCTTAGCACGCGCATTGCCCTTACCAGACAGGCAAGCGCGTCACACCTACGAGGCTGCTGGGGCAGGCTTGCACACTTACCCTCCTCGCATCTCACTGACGCTGGCATCTCCACGCCAGAGATCGCGCTGAGAGCAGCAGCAGCGAGGGCATGGCAGAGGGCACAGAAAAGCGCAGGGCAGAAACAATCAGACATGATACACGTGGACGTCCACGAAGAGGGGAACATCAACAGATCCGATTTAAGCGTTGAAAGGAACTATCTTGGGCTCACGTCGTGGTGGGGCCATCAGTCGCAGGGCGCAGGTACGTGGCGCTGGGAGGTCCGGCGCAGAACATTTCGGAGTGGAAGGAGATGCTGCTGCACACGCCGTCAGCCGGCCAGTAGGCGCGCCACGCGATCTCCGCGTTGACTTTGGTCCCCGGGGGCACCTGGTCCTGAAACAAGTATTTGCACGCGGGTCCGTGTGGGATCACGCCCGGCACATGATCGTTGGCGATTAGCATGTCCCGCAGCTCAGCTGTGGGGCCTATGAATGTCACCGCCGTGTCGAATATATCGAAGAACTCGCCCGCGCTCGCGCCGCCCAGCACCGTGAGAGCCACGAGCCCGGCCAGCACCGCGGCGAGGCCAGCCCGAAGGGCGGAACGCGGCCCGCGCGCCATGGCGACGAGGGACGGGACGGTTGGCGAGGGGAAGGCGGGGCTGCGCGATGCAGCGTGGCGATCCCGTGAGATGCGGCCCGCGCTAGGCTAGCGGATGCAAGGACGAGCGCGCTTTTGAAACGAGATACTAGGTGGGAGCGATGCGTGAGGTGATATGGAGAAAGTAAAAGGCTCGTGCAGATGGCGAGATACGGTGAACGGCGGGAAACGGCGGGAAGGGGGAGTTAATATGTAGGCGGCCATCGAAACCGGCCATCATCTGAGGAGGGACGAGAACGCGAGGTGAAGGGAGTGTGAACGAGGCCCATGCAGTCATGATTCTACTGACGGTCTCACGGCGGATGAGTCGACGCCGATGATTCAACTATGCCGCTTCTTGCAGCGGGTACGCGCATCCCGCATCGCTATTGGCCGAGGTTCAGAAATTTGTTGTACTGGAGGTAGTCAGGGCGTGGAACATTGGCGGGTGCAAGCACGTTACAGTGTGCTCCAGTCGGTGTCAAGAATAATGTTACTACTTGTGTCGTCCGTTACATCGTGACACCAGCTTGTTGCAGGACCTTGTGTCAGAAGGACAATGGGATACTTGCCATCGTGAATGTCGGTTGACCAATGAAAGCCCTTGAAGCAGATTTCATTTCTGCTAAACGTGGTGACACAAACACAGAGTTGCCGCGAACCTGCGGTAGGCCCGCGCCCTGCCAGAACACGATGCTGTACCGCCAGAACGCGTTCTGAATCCGAACGCGATAGTGCATCACCACTGCCATACCAAAATTCCAAAGTTAGGTAAGGCTGGTAACAAATTAGTTGTAACTAATCTATAAAAGAGGGATATGGAAGTATTACTCTAGTTATGCTCTCCTCGCCAGCACTCTTCTTCCTCAGGCAGTCCCATCCCACACCAACTTTGAGCACAATTTGCAGTGCATGCGGGCAATTATATTGTATTATGAATGTACAATTCCTAAGCGAATGACTAGCTTGTAAAACTTCGTATGAGCAACGCACTCCTACATCAACATAAATAATTACTGCATTCACTTTCTAACATGCACCTGTTCTAACCTACCAGTGAACGCAATATCATCAATACATTGAAATCACAACACTCCTAGCCCCTCGAACCCCCTCCCCCTCCCCTCACATGTCATTGATGAGGATCTTGAGCTTGTCGCGCAGCACATCCATGCCGGGGCGGTGCTCCCAGTCAAAGAAGATGGCGAACTTGATGAGTGTGAACATCACCAGCACCTGCTTCAGCTGCCACTGCCCCTGCAGCTGCGCGTCCACCACCAGCGTGGGGTCGGGGAAGTCCTTGGCCGTCACCAGCTTGCGCAGGTCCTTGAACCGCGCGTCCAGGGCGGAGCACCCCGACACCAGCTCCAGCAGGAAGATGCCAAACGCATACGTGTCTGACTTGCGACTCAACATGCCTGGTGGGGGGGGGGGGAGGAGAGGCGGGCAGAGGGGGAGGCAGGATGTGGTATGGGGTGGGGAAGCAGAGACCAGCTCCAGCAGGAAGATGCCGAATGCGTACGTGTCTGACTTGCGACTCAACATGCCTGGGGGCGACGGGATAGAGGTGGACAAGTGTGGGCGGGAGGGGAATTGGACAACGAGAAGAATATTGAGGTGACTTTGGAGTTTACTCGAACGCATGGCATGGCATGTGAGTGTGGCATGGCATGTGAGTGGGACATGGCATGTGGATGGGTCCAGTGGAAGTGGAAGGGCAAGCGAAGGGTGTGAGTGACCAGAGTGGAAGCACATGAACTGTGGAGGTTCTGAATCCCGCGGACAGCGCTTGAGTGCGATTTTGAGTGACTCAAAGCAAAGACGACTGACCCCATCGCCCATTGCCCGAAAATGTAGCGAGTGAAGCTAGGGCAGGAAGAGGGGGTCACTGGATCACCAGTTGGGTGGGCACTGGCTGGAATGAATAGCTGGGGTGGATATAGCCCACTACCCTTCCCTTTCACCAACCAGTGCCCGGGACATGTAATGCACGAAATGTAGCACGAGGGGCTCGCGCAGGGGGGGTGGATGAGAGCGCAGGGGGAGTGGATGAGAGCGCAGGGGGAGTGGGTCACAGGGCAGGGGGAGTGGGTCACAGGGCAGGGGGAGTGGGTCACAGGGCAGGGGGAGTGGGTCACAGCGCAGGGGGAGTGGGTCACAGCGCAGGGGGAGTGGGTCACAGCGCAGGGGGGGTGGGTAACAGTGTGGGTGGGCCCCCACTCCACTGAAGGGAGTCCAAGTGAATGGGGTGGCTGCACCCCATACATCCCATCCCAGCGCCCTCGCCTTGCTCAACCTAATGCCGGACGGAGGAGCGCACAGTTGAGGAGGAAGGGGGTTCCCCAGCATCCCCACCGCCCCCACCACAGCACAACCACGCAGGTCAGAGCCCCCCTCCCTCCCCCTTCCCACCTCCCCGGGGATTGTAGCAGTGAGCGGAGTGGAAGCAGATGGGGCCGACATATGTAGCCCACGGACCCCATCACCCTCGTCTCTTAGTCAACCCATTGGCTGACGGATGAGAGGACACGGCAGGAAAGATGGGGTTTCTCAGAGCCCCACAGCCCCCCCCATGAGTGGGCAGGTCCCCAGGTCCCCATGAGAAGGCACACATGCAGGCGATGGGCAGGCAGTGACTGACCGGAGTCGAAGTAGATGGGGTCGATGTACCCCACGGACCCCATCACCCGCGTCTGCACGTGCGTCTTCCAGTCGTCCACCGCCCGCGCCAACCCAAAGTCCGCCACCACTGGCGTCAGGTCCTGGTGTGGTCAGGGGGTGGCGGGCGAGTGGGGAGGGGAGGAGGGAACAAGGGGGGGAGGGGGAAGAGTGGCTTCAGGTCAACTCTCCGGCAGCACAGGCGACATGCTGACGTGGATGGAGCAGAGGAGTGAGGGCGACGGAGTGGGAAGGGAGGAGTGGGGAGGGAGCAGTGGGGAGGGAGGAGTGGGGAGGAAGGAGTGGGGAGGGAGGAGTGGGGAGGGAGGAGTGGGAAGGGAGGAATGGGATGGGAAAAGTGGGAAGGGAGAAGTGGGAAGGGAGGAGGGGGAAGGGAGGAGTGGGATGGGAAGGGAGGAAGAGGAAGGGAGTAGTGGGGAGGGAGGAGTGGGAAGGAAGGAGTGGGAAGGGAGGAGTGAGGGGTGAGGAGAGGAGGGAGGAGAGAGGAGGGCGGCGAGTGAGCTGGTGTGAGCAGCAGTGGGAGGGGAATGTCCATGACAGTGAGCTCAACTGCCTGCCATGTCATGCCTGTCTGCCACCTCCCATCCTCACCTCACCTCACCCTCCTACACCTCAACTCTCCTCCCCTCCCCTCACCCTTGCCTCTGTCCTCCCGGCACCTCTCGCAGCAGGATGTTGACACCTGCACCGCACCTCTCTGCAATCCCCCCTCCACCTCTTGCAGCAGCACAACACAACTCCCCTCCCCATTCCACAAGACACCTCCCCTCCCCCTCCCATCACCCTCCCCATCACACCTCTCTACCACCCTCACCTCCCTCCCACCCTCATCTCCCTCATCAACTCACCTCTCTCCCTCCCATACTCATCTCGTCCCCCCCCTCACCTAACTCCACCCCACCTGGCGCAGCAGCACGTTGCTGGCCTCCCCTCTCACCCCGCTCACCTCGCTCTCCCCACTCACCTCGCTCCACCCCTCACAGATCCCTCACCATGCCCCTCACCTGTCTGAGCAGCACGTTGGTGGCTTTAAAGTCCCGGTGCACGAAGTTGTTGGCGTGGATGGTCGTCAGCGCCTCCGCGCACCCCAGCGCCACCGCCACGCGCTGCTTCCATGTAAAGGACACCTCGCCCCGTGCGGCTGATAGGTGAGGGGAGGGTTGGTGGAGCGGAGGGGGAGGGATTGCGAGGGGAGGGGAGTGGAAGGGAAGGGAGGAAAGGAGGGATGAGGAGGGGATGGGAGGGGATGCGAAGAGAGGCAGGGTGAAGGGAGGGGAAGGGAGGGGAGGGGAGGGGAGGGGAGGGGAGGGAAGGGAAGGGAGGGGACGGGAAGAGATGGGAGGGGAAGAGATGGGAGGGGAGGGGAGGGGAGGGGAGGGGAGGGGAGGGGAGGGGAGGGGAGGGGAGGGGAGGGGAGGGGAGGGGAGGGGAGGGGAGGGGAGGGGAGGGGAGGGGAGGGGAGGGGAGGGGAGGGGAGGGGAGGGGGGCTGGCTCATGGCACCGGGGGTGGCAGGACGGGGGCAGGAAAGGGTAAGACAAAGCAGAGAGCAGGGTGGGAAAAGGAAGGGAGGAAGAAGCAGGGGAGATGTAGAGAGGAGAAGAAGAGGCGAGGCATGCAGAGAGGTGCGTACCTTCAGTGAGGTAGGTGGAGGCGAGGCATGGGGGTACCTTTAGCGAGGTAGGTGGAGGCGTCGCCCATGGAGACATAGTCGTAGATGAGGATGGGCGTGGCGCCCACCACATAGCCCTCCAGGCGCAGTATGTTGGGGTGGTGCACCCGCGCCATCACACCCACCTCCGTCTGCACGCCACGCCATGCCATGCCGTGATGTGCCATGCCATGCCATGCCGTGATGTGCCATGCCATGCCATGCCGTGATGTGCCATGCCATGCCGTGCCATGCCGTGCAAGCAAGGGAAGACGGGTGCGAGGGGAACAATGACGGGTGGGAAGAAGGGGGGTGGCGTAGATCAGTGCAGGTGGCAGGGAGCCAGCTGGTGGGATGGTGGGAATGAAGGCGCGCAGCGGAAAGTGCCACATTCAACTTCACATCCCACCCTGTTTCCCTGTGTCACCCTCCTTGCGTCTGTGTGTGTGCCTGCGCGCATGCGTGTGCATGTGCAAGAGCCGTGCACGCACAATGAACCTGTCGATGCCGTTGGTGATATGATCCTCCGCCATCAGCTTCACCGCCACCTCGTGTGCCTTGCCCTTGTGTGCATGTGCATTCGTGTGTTCGTGCATTTGTGCATTCATGCATTCATGCATGCGTGTGAGAGCGTGTGTGCCTCCCTGAGTGCTTTGGCACGCACAATGAAGCTATCGATGCCGTTGGTGATATGATCCTCCGCCATCAGCTTCACCGCCACCTCGTGTGCCTTGCCCTTGTGTGCATGTGCATTCGTGTGTTCGTGCATTTGTGCATTCATGCATGCGTGTGAGAGCGTGTGTGCCTCCCTGAGTGCTTTGGCACGCACAATGAAGCTATCAATGCCGTTGGTGATATGATCCTCCGCCATCACCTTCACCGCCAACTCGTGTGCCAGGCCCCTGTGTGCTTGTGCATGTGCGTGTGAGGTGCTCCGTGCATCCATGTGACCACGTGTGCGCACATATGGTGCCTGCCTGCGTGCATGCTTGTGCCCCCCTGCCCGCACTGACAATGAAGCTATCGATGCCATTAGTGATATGGTCCTCCGCCATGAGCTTCACGGCCACCTCGTGCGGGGGGCCGCCCCCGGGGTCCGCGAGGCGCCCATGGAAGACGACGCCGAATCCCCCGCGGCCGATCTCCGTGGAGAAGGACTGCGTGGCGGCCTGCACCTCCTGGTAGTTGTACTGCGACACCACGCCTGGGGCCAGGGACTTGCGGAGGGGGTACCCGCCTATTGCCGCTGGAGGGGGTGGGGGGGGAGCTGCGAGGAAGGGCAGGGGGGAGGGGACAGGGGAGGGGGGGTGGGAAGGGGGGAGATGGGAGGGAGCGGCAGGGAAGAGGAAGCGGGAGGGGGAGTTTGAGTCGCGTGAGAGGTGGTGCGAGTGGGTGGAGAAGGGCTGCGCGGCGGCGTGCACCTCCTGGTTGTGCTGTGACACCACGCCGGTGCACGGGGCTGTGACACCACGCCCGGTGCACGGGGCTTGCGGAGTGGGTACCCGCCCGCTGCCGCTGGGGGTGGTGGGGGCTACTGCAGCGGAGAGGGAGGGAAAAGGTGAGGGAGCGGAGAGAGGGGAGAGTGAGGACGGGTGGTGAGGGTACGATTGAGGGTTGTGGTGCTTCAGCGCAAGGGTGCAAGAATGGGCGCAGGGGGGAGGTCAAACGATGTCAGGTGGGTGCGATGGGAGGTGCAACGAGATCGCAGGGGGGGGGCAGGGAGGAGGGAGGGTGGGGGAAGGCAGGGGGTGGGGAGGGCGGATGGGGTGGGAGCGGATAGCGCGAGTGGGGAGGGCTCGGCGAGCAGAAGCGCGAGCGCGGGGCAGCCGCACCTGGTTGCCTCGGCGACACGGGCTGTGCCGCCGGCGGGGGGGCCGGGGTGGGCGCCGGCGCGGGAGGCGGGTGACCGTTGGGGATTGGCCGCGCGGCGGGCGGAGGCGGGGGCGGATGATACGGCTGCTGCGAAGGCGGGGGCTTTCTGGGCGACGGCGGCGGCGTGGAGCAGCAGTTCCCCATGGCGGGGGGCGCACGCGGCGGGGGGGGGCTGGGTGATGAAGGGGGGGAGAAACGGTGAATATAGGGTTGAGTGAGAGCCGGGTGTGGTTGAGCAGGTGTGGCGTTGAGTGAGTGTAGAGTAGGGTTGGGCGGGAACACGCAAGTGACGACAGGCGAATGGTGCGGACGATACGGTTGATGGCGATGGACATGGGCGACGATGGGCGATGGACATGGGCGACGATGGGCGACGGACATGGGCGACGATGGCCGAGAGTAGCGCGAAACACGAGGAAAGAGGGAAAGCTGTGAAATTGATGGCATTTACCTTAATGCGCGTGAAGTCCTCGCGCCGCTTTGACTTATAATGAGCCTGAATACTATCCACAATAATAGGTAGACCTAGGCGCTACAACTGATTAATATGGAGGGGGTAAGGGCAGACGGTCTATGCACGTTTCTGCTGACGAGTCCTTTACAAATGAAATCTTGTTATAAAGCAACTAAACGAATGGAACGAGTCGCACCAAACTTGCGTTGACATCTTTCCCGAGGTTCTGCTTCCTAAATACGTAAGTGTCTAATAAAAATAAAGTCGTCTTGCTCTACGCTATTGCTGAAGGGAGTGGGAGCGAGCTTGTGTTTGCACTAGTGGTGCACTTGAGGCGTATAATGAAGTAGCCGAACAAGGGTCACAGACAGCGTGTCGTCGTGGAGTCGTTTCGTGTCAACTCAACTCCCGAAAACACCACCACGTTGCTCCGCGTGCTCCGTACCCCGCAATCGTCCGCTGTCCTGTGCGGTACATCGACTTCCTGCACGGTAAAAAGTGTTTTCCATCAGGGGAGTTCACACGTACAGGGATTCCCAAGGTCCGACAGGGAAAACCGTGAGCCTGATCGAAGGGGAGGAAGCACTAGTTCGAGATGGGCGTATCGCTCGTTGCAGCGCATTAAACGGTGGTGCAGTTCGGTGGAAGTCACAGCCGTTTCTTGACCCTCCCACCCGCAACACGCCCTGAGAATGATTTCGGACTTGTGCGGAACCCCGCGCAATGTTCCGCGCGCAGTTCGCTTTGGCGCTGCACTGCTGTTTGAGGCGGTGCCTCCACCGCCTTGGGGCTTGACGGTTTTGACCTGCGCGGTGTGGGGAGAATCAGCGGAACCGCGCACACCACGGCGTGGTGAGGCTTGGTTGCGGAAGTGCCCCGTTGGCGCGTCACACGCCGCCGTGCCTGGCACGGCCTGGTCGTCCGATTCGGGTTCGGATGAACTCAGCTCGGCGCGGCGAAGAGGGTAACTCGTTTGTGGACAGCTTACATGCTCCTATGGTTGTTTCACACCTGCTCGCAATAAACGGCATATGCATTTCGTTATTGTGAAGCACAAAACAATGTGAATATTTAAACGCACTGATTCTAATGCTAATCCAACGTTTTTAGGGTGTTCGGTTTCACAAAATATCGTTGGTCGTTGCAGCGATAACCATGGCCACCCACCCAACCAGCTACTGAGCAGCAGTGGGATCTGGTCTTTACTACCACTTACCGGTAGTCTGCCAATCTATATTGCAGATTTCAAGAGCAAAGATTTCTGAAAACAACCTTACAACAACATCTGCCATGTTCGAGTACAACTGCCTTCAAGTCACCACTGAGAGAAATCAATCAAATCTGGAGGAGCAACTGCCTGATTACTTGGGCCAACACTCATGCTGCTGCTGCTGCCAGTGCCTGACACTGAAAGAGCATTGCTGATACTGCTGCTTCCAGAGCCATCAACTGCAGCATGGCCCGTATGCCCTGCAGGAACCCTGGCAGCTGTGAGGGTGGGCTGCTCAAGATGGGCTGCACTGCCTGTTGTGGTGGCAGGGCGTGGGCAAATCAAGCTCGCAGAGCTGAGTGCATCCACGCCCTGCCGTGCATGCGCCGTGCCGCCTGTGCTGCTGCCACTCGCACCACTGGTTGGCCATGCTACACCGGGTGGGGGCGTTGAGATCAGCTGCGGGGGGCAGGCGGGAGTGCAGTGTGAGGGTGAGGCGGTGGGGCCGTGTGGGAAGGCGGACCAAGGGGTGGACGGGGTGGTGGAGGGAGGGGAGGCACTGGCAGGCGCAGCAGCAGGGGGGGAGGGAGCAGCAGTGGCAGATGCAGCAGCAGCGGCAGCGGCAGTGGCAGCAGCAGCGGGGTTGTGGAAGAGGCGGTGCTCGTACTTGTCTCGAATCCACCGCTCCACCTCCGCGTCTGATGACGCTGACGTGGGCGCCCTCACTCCCGCTGGCAGCGTGCCTGTTGCGAGGGAGGGGTAAAGGGGAAGTGGCGAGAGCAGTGTTGAGGAGGCTCGAACGAATCCCCTGGCGCTCATGTGTGTGCTGTCGCTCCGGGTGGCACGGTGCGTGCAGCGAGGGAGGAGTGGCAGCAGCAGCGAGCAGACTTGTGCGGCACACCTAAAGGCACTTATTGACACTGATAAGGGCGCTCTTACTCTGGTTGGCAGGGCGAGAGGTGGAGTCAGCAAGTGTGGTGTGACAGTGAGAGTGGAGAGAATGCGAGGGGAGAGGGGTACAAGGGGTGCAAGTGGAGGGAGGGACCACAGAGCAGCGGATATGAGCAAGAAATGGCAGAAAATGCGGAGACGGGAAGAAGAGAGGGAAGAGCGAGGGGAGAAGAGAGGGGCGGGAGAGAGGGGGAAAGGAGGGGGGTGGGGAGAACAAGGGGGGAAAGTTAGCATAAAGAGATCTGGAAAAGAATCGCTTCAGGAGGCTGGAAAGCGCAGGAGAAGAGAGAAGAGGAGAAAGAGAGGAGAGCGGAGTGGGGCGGAAGTGAATGCTACGACACAACAGCCGAGTGAACCCCATCGCGGTTCAATCTTGACTCCCTCCCATCTCTCACCCTCCCATCTCTCACCCTCCCATCTCTCACCCTCCCATCTCTCACCCTCCCATCTCTCACCCTCCCGCCGCTCACCCTCCCGCCGCTCACCCTCCCCCCGCTCACCCTCCCCCCGCTCACCCTCCCCTCGCTCACCCTCCCACCTCTCACCCTCCCACCTCTCACCCTCCCACCTCTCACCCTCCCACCTCTCACCCTCCCGCCGCACACTCCCCCCTCTTTCACTCCAGCCGCTCACCTTCTCACCCTCCCCCCTCTGAGACAGCCCGCCGCTCACCCTGCCAGATGGCGGCGGCGCGTCGGTTGCCCATGGCGCGCATGGCGGCGACCTCGCGATCGCTCCACGTGTCGAGGTCGACGCACTTGGTGCGCGTCACGTGCACGCCGATGCCGCGATGGATGCCGTAGCACCGGTTGCACAGGAACACGCCCAGCGACACCGACGCGAAGCGCGGGAAGCGTCCGCCGCAGTCGGCGCAGGACTCGTTGCCCGGCGCGCGGAGGAGCGCCTTGAGCTGCTGCTGGTGCGCCGCCTGCAGGGCCTTGTCGTGCTTGTACGCGTTAGTGGCTGACGCCATTCGCGGGTATGGCGTGTCGCGAGTGACGAAGGGAGAGCGTCACCAGAAGAACCTCGTCGGAAGGACGGGTAAGCAGTCAAACACGACAAGTCGATCTAGACGACAAGCATAGACCGACACGTGGCAGGCGTGCTTACGATCGACACATCGAGTTCATTCTCAAGGTCGATCGCCGCGTGTCGTTCATGCTTAGAATGGATAGTAACATGGCAGTCGCCCTTTGGATTGCTTTGTGACTGTCGACGGGAGTTTCGGTCACCGTAAGGGATGGCGCAAAGGGCTGATAGCAGGCAGGGCCATCAGATCTGATTTCGCGTTCCACCCGCTCGTGTTTGGTTTGGACGAACTGCGTTCGAGACACCCAGGCACAAATGTTCGCACGAGGGAATTTTCGCAAACAAGGCTGAGAGTGGCTGAAAATTGTCGTGCAAGTTCGTCGAGGGGGCAGCGTGTGTCTCCGCAGCGACTCCATACTTTCGCAGAGGGTGGTAACATCAAAAGTTGGCCAAAGGTGCGTCACAACGCAACCAGCTCATGCGGCTACTGGAGCCGCACAGCGTCAGGAACGCGCGCGAACATGCACGTCCTAGAGCTCCTGGCAATCCGCATATTCGCTCTGAGCCTCATTTCGCGTCCCCCGGTACCACTTCTGCCATCCGCCATTCCGATTTCGTCACGTAGACAGTCGCCGCAAGGTGACGGTCGGATCCACGCACGGGCTCTTCGTGGCCCTCTCGCCGCTTCCTTTCATCCACCACCACACCGCGCTGGCTTTGCTAGCCGCTTGGGTCAACTTGTTTCGATCATTCGCAACTGTGAAAGCGCGCGGCCTCTGTCGTCGCTTACTCACATCGCTCCACCTCTTGAGTTCAACTCGGTCGCGAGTGAGCCGACGCAACGCAGACAAGTGACACGCGGACGGGCGCGCGCGTATATCCTCCTGCCGAGCGTGCCGCGCGCAGGATACTCTGTCGCCGCCATGTCATCCTCACCGCTTCACATCCGCGTGCACCGCGCCGCACCCATGAGCACCGCAAAGCGCCGGCCGCGCCAACACCAGTCCCCCGCCTCGTCGCTGCAGCCGGCGCCCCCATCCGCAGCGGCGCACATCTCCGCGCATGGGCGCAAACCCGCCTCCCGCGGGTCGCTCTTCGCCGCCATCCTCGGCGCGCCGCGCATGCACCCCACCGCGCTCGCGCTCGCCATCGTGGTGGCGGCATGCGTCGTCTGCATCCTCGTGCTGGCCGGCATCCACTTGTCTTTTAGCGGTGTTTTCAAGAATGGCGCGGGGGAATCCGCGGGAGGATGGCGGAGGGGGATGGGGGGAAGGTAAACGCCAACCAACGCGTGTCGACGAGGCGCCTCGGAGCAAAGCATCCACGTGGCTGGGAGAGCCGCAGGCGATGACGTGGACGAATGGATGGGCGACTTCCATCCATGTGGCGCGAGGTGTGGGTGGGCGGAGATACGAGACAAGGGCGCGGGGAAAGGTGTTAGGGGAGAGGGGTAGGAAGAATTAGGTGAGGGGGAGAGCAGTGGTTTGAAGTATAAGCCATTCATGGCAGCGAATGTGCGTGCATGGCGGCATGGCGGCATTCGCGACACCTTTGGGGCTGATGTGGCGAGGGCGCGGGGGAGACGTGGGGGCGGGAGATGGAGAGCATGAGGGGCGCTCGAGTGCACGGTGGGCGCAGAGGCGGGCCTGTGAAAGGGGTTGCTTGGACAGGTGAGAGGGGAAGACGAGGAGTGGAGGAGTGCAGGAGGGGAGGAGGGGAGGAGGCAAGTGGATGGAAGGGCGTATGTTGGATGCATGCAGGCATGGCGGCAGGCGGGCATGCAGCAGGTGGGTGGGAGGGGGACGTGCAGTTATGCCAAACGAAGCGCGGTGGAAACGGTGGGGGAATGGCGGAGGGCGATGTGGGAGGGCGATGGGGGAAAGGTAATTGTGGAGAAAGGCAAGGAGAAACGAGAAGAGATGGCAGAGATGGCAGGAGAAGGAGACGAGGTGGCGAGGAGAGGCGCTGGGATGGGGGGGCATGTGGGGGCAGCGAGGGGCCGGGAGCGCAGAACCCCAGGTGTGAAGGGGGGAATCTGGCAGGTGAGGGGTGAGGGGAAAGCGGGAGGAGTAGGAGGCGCGGGAGGAGGCACGTAGCAGGGCACCTGAGCGAAGGAAGGGCGGTGCAGGGCGTGTGTTGAACTTGTGCAGGGAGGGAAGGTGATGGCGCAATGGGCATTGGAGCACTGGTGAGGCGCACGGGCTGTGAGGCGCCCTGCCTCTCACAGAGAACTGGTGAGTGGGAGAGCGTGTGGGGTGAGTGAGGAGGTGGTTGAGAAGAAGCTCAAGCCTCAAGTTCTCCGCCTTGTCTCGGAAATTGCTCGCAATGTGTTGCTTTCTTCTCCCCCTCTTCTTACCATTTTCCCTCTCCCTGCCCATGCACGCTCTACCACTGTGTACTCTGATTTCATTCGCCCTGTATATCTGCTCCCTCCTCTCACTGCATCTGCCCCCCACCCTCTTCCCCGCATCTCCCAGACTCCCACCACATGACTCCATGCCCCCATCATTTGGGTCTCGGCGTCACATGCTGCGTGCAGCAGTGCTCATGAAGCTTCATTCCGCATGAGCGTGCCGTGAATCCACTTGCAGGCTTGCACGAGTGTGGTGATAACGTGTTTCCTTCCCAATGGGTAGGCACCTGTGATAAAGATATGGTATTGGTTCTGAGCTTGGGTGTATGTTTGGTGGCTGTTCATGTTTACAAATAGTAATTGGGAGAAAGCAGTGCAATGCTGATTGTGAGTGGAGTGCAACAAGGGGTGTAAGTTTACAGTGCAATGCCATCTTTTCTGGCCCTCACCCTCAGCAGTACTGTACCAAGGCTTGCCTAGGTACCGGTACTAGGTAAAGAAGGCAGCATAACTGCAAAGCAGGGAAGTTGACAGCACTATCGGCCTTGATGCCTGGTTCATTCCAGCAATCTAACTGGTCAGATAAGATGTGCCCAGCGGTGATCACTTGATGGAGGAAGGCTGCGTGTTTGTGCGTGTGTCGGCGCTCTTCCTCTCTTCACTGTCACTCAATGCTGACTTCTCCCGCTCATGCCAGATGCAGCACACGGCTGGTCCGGTAGGGGCGCAGCCCAGCTCAGCCCAGCCCTTGCACTGTTCCTGCACGCCCTGCCAAGCCCCCCGCCCAGGGTTATAGCGCCTTGCAGGGTCCTTGTTGTAGTGGATTTGACTGGATTGGATTGGACGCGCTCCTGCGACAACTGCCACGGCCTCTCTTCACCGCGCAGCAGCCACCACACAAGGTATGTACAGCGAGAGCCCAGCAGCCAGGCTCCGTGCTGGGGGGTTGCTTGCTTGCTCTGTGCTATGCTCCAAGCAGTTGGAGAGTGAGAGTGTAAGGTGGGTGGAGGAACGGGCCAAGAGAAGGGACTTTCTGCGCTTCAAGCATATTGTACAGCTGGTGCTGCTGAATGCTGCTGGCGTACATGCCAAGTACAGAGTCTGTGTCAGAGCGCTGCGAGTGGGGGATTGGGGCCGTGCCAGGGCAGCCCCAGCAGCCACGCGAGCTGCTCAAAGCGGTCGGAGCCGAAGAGCATGAGGGGGCGCGCAGGGGAGAGCATGGCGCCCGTGGCTAGACGCACGGGGCGAGAGGCGGGGCGGATGAAAAGCGTGGGCACTCCGAATGCCCCCGCCTCTATGGCCGCCTGGGTGCTCGCCTGCACGCGTGGGGGCACAGATGGGAATGAGGGGAATGAGGTGGTGCTATGAGGAGAAGGTGGTGTGTGTCTTGTGGAAAGAACCACAACGCGTGGCGCCTGAGTGACTGTGGGTGCGACTGGCGAGACTGGTGGCAGGGCGGTAAGGCAGGCTGGCAATGGCAAGCACAGTGCGCATGCATGCACTCACGGCGGCTCAACTCGTGGCTCAACTCACGGCTCAACTCACGGCTCAACTCACGGCTCAACTCACGGCTCAACTCACGGCTCAACTCACGGCTCAACTCACGGCTCAACTCACGGCTCAACTCACGGCTCAACTCACGGCTCAACTCACGGCTCAACTCACGGCTCAACTCACGGCTCAACTCACGGCTCAACTCACGGCTCAACTCACGGCTCAACTCACGGCTCAACTCACGGCTCAACTCACGGCTCAACTCACGGCTCAACTCACGGCTCAACTCACGGCTCAACTCACGGCTCAACTCACGGCTCAACTCACGGCTCAACTCACGGCTCAACTCACGGCTCAACTCACGGCTCAACTCACGGCTCAACTCACGGCTCAACACACGGCTCAACTCACGGCTCAACACACGGCTCAACTCACGGCTCAACTCACGGCTCAACACACGGCTCAACTCACGGCTCAACTCACGGCTCAACTCACGGCTCAACTCACGGCTCAACTCACGGCTCAACTCACGGCTCAACTCACGGCTCAACTCACGGCTCAACTCACGGCTCAACTCACGGCTCAACTCACGGCTCAACTCACGGCTCAACTCACGGCTCAACTCACGGCTCAACTCACGGCTCAACTCACGGCTCAACTCACGGCTCAACTCACGGCTCAACTCACGGCTCAACTCACGGCTCAACTCACGGCTCAACTCACGGTGAGCGCCTGCTTGACGGCAGGTGTGGCAGCAGCAGCCAGCAGCGCGTCCTGCTGGGCGGGCGCGATGCCGGCCCGGCCGCAGGCATGGCGCAGAAAGGCAGGTGCTGTGATGTCGGCGCGCGATGGGGGTGCGATGTGAGATGGAGAGGAGTGAGAGGCGGAGGAAGAAGGCGAGGAGGAGGAGGAGAGGGAGGAGGAGGCATTGGAAGCGGTGTGCGTGGCGCTGGTGGCTGAGTGGGGAGTCGGAGGGGAGACATGAGGGGGGGAAGTAGGAGAGGCGCGGTGGGGGGCAGGAGCGGTCCAGATGGCAGTGAAGAGCACACGCGTGAGGGCCAGCAGCTCACGCGAGCCATGGCCCTGCTTGCACATGGGACATGGCGGCATGATATGGCATGGCATGGCATGGCATGGCATGGCATGGCATGGCATGGCATGCGGGGATGGCATTGCGGGTCGGGTGGCATGTCATCATGGGATGGCACATACATGGAAGCAGGGTGGAAATAGTCGAGCGTGCAGAAAGGTAATGGTGTTGAAGATGGGCAGGCAGGCGCGCACAGGACAGTCCACAGCACGTGCATGTGAGGGACGACCACATGCTGGGGTTGGGGACGAAATGCGCCCAGTGGGACGCTTTAGAGCCTTTTCACAAGGGACTCGTGATGTGAACTCTAAACTCAAGTTTATCACAGCAGATAGGACAAAGAAGCAGTTCGGAAGGAATGAGACGCCAGCATTGCATTGCGTGCTGGAAGCACAGCACGGAGATAGTGGGGGACTGGAAATGGCAGGCGAGAGGGAGCAAGCAAGCAGTGCAAGGTGCAGAAGGAAGCGAGCAGCAAGTGAGAGGGCACCTGTTGGAGGGCGAGGGCGGTGAGCAGGCGCTGGCAGGGCAGCGTGGAGAAGCGCGGCGAGCCAAAGCCCGGTGGCACGGAGATGCGCGGCAAATGGGCATACGCTGCTGTGCGCGCTATGTCTTGCTGTAACCATGCTCCTGGTGGGTAGGAGGGGCGGGGGGAGGGGAGGGGGAGGACGGACAGTGTGAGGATGTGAGGAGGCAGGCAGGCAGACAGGCATGTGGGGCGACGGCTGGTGTGCATGCGCTGTGGTGCTGTAGCCATGTGCGTGGTGCTGTAGCCATGTGCGTGGTGCATGGGAGGGAAGTGCAGAGGGAGGAAGGAAAGGAAGTAGCAAGGGAGAGGAAGGAAGGGGAGGGGCGAGCAGGCAGGTGATTCCTTGTGGCAGCCACGCCCTTGGTACCATGCGGTGGTGCGGTGCGGTGTGGTACGGATCCATTCTTAGAGAGAGGATGAGTGTGCGAGAATGCGTGGGAGAAAGGGCACGGCAGGGAGCACGCTCCTCGGGCTTGCTGGCTGTATTGAAGAGCTGCGCTCAACTGAACCCGTGTTTGTGGCAAACAGCAGCAGTAGCGGGGTTGGCACAGCAGGTGCAGTGCAGGAGCATTGGCAGCAGGCAGGCAGGCAGGCAGGCAGGCAGGCAGGCAGGCAGGCAGGCAGGCAGGCAGGCAGGCAGGCAGGCAGGCAGGCAGGCAGGCAGGCAGGCAGGCAGGCAGGCAGGCAGGCAGTACCTCAGGCGGGCACGGCAGAGGGCATGGCGTTGCCGGTGGCGCGGTGGATGGCTCCCAGCAGCACGGGCCGCAGCAGCAGGCGCACGTTCCACAGGTGGCGGTACCTGCACTCATGGGGAGGGAGGGGACGAGGGATGAGAGGGGAGGGACGAGGGGGGAGTGGGCGCAGGAAGCAACTCGTGGTTTGACTTAAAAGCCAGCAGCACTTGCCGCAGCAGCAGGGGCACGTGCCACAGGTGGCGGTACCTGCACTCATGGGGAGGGAGGGGACGAGGGATGAGAGGGGAGGGACGAGGGGGGAGTGGGCGCAGGAAGCAACTCGTGGTTTGACTTAAAAGCCAGCAGCACTTGCCGCAGCAGCAGGGGCACGTGCCACAGGTGGCGGTACCTGCATGCATTTGGACGACAAGGGACGAGGGACGGAGAACGAGCGAAGCAGAGAGGGAGAAGGGAAGAGCGAGTGCAGAGAGTGAGTTTTGAGGGGACTGGAAGGCCAGCGGCATGGGCGCAGCAGCTACACGGGCGCAGCAGCTACACGGGCGCAGCAGCTACACGGGCGCAGCAGGTGCACGGGCGCAGCAGGTGCACGGGCCAGGGCGGGCAGAGAGGGCAGTGGCGGAACCCGTTGAACTTGACAGCACCTCTCTCGCTCGCTCAGTGCGCGGCAAGTCAGAGACGTGAGGGCTCCAACAAGGTTTGCAAGGGAGAGAGCAAGAATGGGGAGAGGTGGATAGGGAGAGAGGGAGTGAAGGAGATGGAGAGAAGGAGGGAAAGAAGGAGAGGGAGAGAAAGGGAGAGAAGGAGAGGGAGAGAAAGGGAGAGAAGGAGAGGGAGAGAAGGAAAGGAGGGAAGGAGTGGGAGAGAAGGAGAGGGAGAGAAGGAGAGGGAGAGAAAGAGAGGGAGAGAAGGAGAGGAGGGAAGGAGAGGGAGAGAAGGCGAGGGAGAGAAGGAGAGGGAGAGCACCTGAGGAGGATTTCGAGCGCGACGAGGCTGTAGGGCGACCCCACGTCGAGACACACCTCCACCTCCCACTCCACCCGCTCCTCTCCCTCCTCCGCTGCCGCTCCCGCCGCTCCTGCCGCTCCTGCCTCTCGTCCCTCTCGTCGCTCCTCCCACTGCGTCACCCCACCCTGCCATCTCTCACCGCCGCTGCTGCTCGTCGCCATGCCGGTCGTAAGTATGCCGAATTATGCACTGCCGTGCGGTGCGAAGGCCCTCCGCTCACTCCGCCGTCACATCCGCGCCACGGGTAGTAACAGGGGAGATTGTTCTGAGGTATGGCGACCGTTTGCGCCCGGAAGGCCGCTTCACGGCTTACGGTCCTCTCTACTAAGGTCGCATTGATTTGTATCGTATGCTTACACAACCTCTCGACTCCTTCCTGCTCGACTGCTTGGTGAGTGCTTGCTGGAGCAACAACACATTTTGCCTCGCTATCGCGGAAGTGGAAGATGGAAATGGAGGGGGCAGCAGCTGAAAATGCGTGAAATGAAACAAACTGAAAGGCTTTGGGCGAAAGGGTTTCGGAAGCAGAATGCGGTTACTGGATTATGATTATTAGCGACAGTTCACTCTTTCGTAGCGACATTCAACTCGATTGCCCCCCTAACCAGCACCATTGAGCAGTCGCGACAGAAGTAGCGAACGCGGAAGTGGGTCGCTCAGTCTCCGAAAGCACCATTGCGAAGCATTTTCAACCCCCCCCCCAAGCCATAGCAAACCCATAACCTCCAAGCCATTTCCAGCAAGCTTTACCACAGCAGCGCAATCCCCAGCGTCCCACACGGCGATTTCCCGTTCCATCACCCGACTAGGGCGTCGAATTAGTTAGCGTGGAATTGCAGACGAAAATTTTGCTTAGGGAACCCGCGATGGGAAACCAGACGAGGAGTGGGTGCCGCTAGTCACTGGTTCTTCTTGTCGGCGCTTGCGTGCGCCCCACGCCACCTCCGCGTCTCGCTCCCGTTGGATTCGTTAAATCGACCTAAAGTCGACGCCGATCACCGCCGTTTCGCCTCCTCTGCCTCTGCTTCTCTTCGGCGGTGGTGTGGCGGCGCGCCATGGATGCGTCGGTGGACGACTTAGACGACCTTCTCGACAGTACGTTTACGCTTATTGCCGCTCTCCTTCAAATGCTGTCGTCAGCCGCGGTAGCATGCGGATTCGTCAACACGAGCGTTGTTCGGCCAAGCTTCGCAGCGAAACGTCGGGAGTGCATGCAAGCGGTGCTTACGGGGACTCACGACGCAAAAGAACGGCCGGGATGCATCCACGCGCCCCGTGTCGCTCTGCTGTCACCAGTCCCGCCGCTCGTCGCCGCCTCGTGATTCCTCGCCTCCCCGAGCGCGTTTCGTTTCCGCCCTAGACCACCCTCATGTTCCCCCCACTGTCGCCGTTTCGCTCCTTCTTCCCTCTTTTGGCCATCGCCCACGGCCCATCATGGTCCCACGTGCACTCGCCAACTTCCGCCGCAGCTCCCCGCGCTCTCACTGCCGCACGGTCCAGCCGGACTCACCTCTCCCCGCTTCCCCCATCCCTCCCTCCCTCGCCTCTCACCCCCTTCCTCCCTTCCTCTCTCCCTCCCTCCCGGCCCCTTTCTTCCCCCTCCCCCATTCCCTCCGTCCCGCCTTCCTACCCTCCCCCCTTCACTCCCTCCTCGCTGCCCGTCCCTTCCTCCCCCCTCCCACGCCCCGCCCGTCTCGCATGCGCCATGCTGCACCGCGCAGGTGCGCTGGAGGACTTTCGCCAGGACCCGCCAGCACCTGCGCCCGCCGCCACCAGCGCCGCCTCTGGCCCCGCTCCCCACACGCCGTCGCCCCCACTGCCTGGTGCCGCGTCGCCTACCGTGCCACTCGCCCCCAGCGCACCCGAAGCATCGGGACTCGCCCGCGAGGAGGCACTCGCGGGGTCAGACCCCGCAGCGCCAGGCACACGCGCAGGTGCAGCAGCGCCTGCAGCAGCGGCAGCAGCGCCGGTGGGGCTGGGGCTGGGCAGGGGCCTGCCATCACTGCCAGCGAGGAAGAAGAGAAGCGGCGTCGCACGCACGGGCACGGGCAAGGCCGCTGCTGCTGGCGGCAGTGGTGGTAAGACAAGTGACAGTGGTGGCGTGAGTGCGAGTGGGAGTGGGGGTAGCAGCAGCGGCGGCGGCGGCGGCAGGGGGATATCATTGACGTTGGAGCAGCTGCAGCAGCAGACACAGCGCACCGTCAGTGGCATCGGGGAGGGGGACGATGCGGCCAGGGGGAGAGGAGGAGCAGCGGGGGGAGTGCCTGCAGGGCTAGGGGCGGGCTTGCCAGGGCTGGGCGGGCTGGGTGATTTGGAGGGGTTGGGAGGGGAAGGGGAGGAGTTGGATGAGGCGGTGGTGGAGCGACTGGTGAAGCAGTTCGAAGACATGGGCACTCAGGTGCGTGGTAACATGGGCGCTGCTCTCCCATTTTCGCCTGCACGCTTCCGAGAATTCTAAAAAACCAGCACGCTTCCCTCCCTCCCTCCTCCTTCGTCCTCCTCTCCTCCTCATCGTCCTCCTCCCACGGGACATGCGCCAGTCGTGACCCCTTCCCCCCTTCATTGCCTCACCTCGTCCTCCCCCCCTCCTCCCCGTCCCCCCCTGCAGGACATGGCGGGGCTGATGGACGCGGTGATGCAGCAGAGGCGCACACAGGGCTCATGAACCACCGCATGCACACGGCCCGTCTCTGTTGTGCCTGCACTGTACCCGCCCTCTGCCCCCCCTCGCTGCAGGACATGGCGGGGCTGATGGACGCGGTGATGCAGCAGCTGCTGTCAAAGGACGTGCTGCACGGACCAATGAGGGACCTCCACGCGCGCTACCCCGCCTGGCTCGCCGCCAACGCCGCCTCCCTGCCGCCCGCTGACCTGGCGCGGTACGAGCGGCAGCAGCAGGCCATCGCGCGGCTGTGCCAGCTGTACGAGGAGCGGCCGGGCGACTTTGACGCCATCATGGCCGTCATGGCCGACATGCAGGCGTGTGGACAGCCGCCGCCTGACATGATCAAGGAGATCGCACCGGGACTGGAGATGGGTGAAGACGGCCTGCCTGTGTGAGTGCGCTGCTAGCTTCCCTGCTGTCACTCGCTGTTCCACCCGCTCCTCTCTCTTTCAATCATTCTTCTCTCGCTTCGGTTTCGCCTGCGTCTTCCACGTTTCGAACTGCATCCTTGCCGCCTTGCTTCTGTGTGACTGCTCCCATCTTTCTGTCATGTTGGGTTCACACCCTCGTGGTTTGGATCACAGCACACACTGCTGTGATGGTCTTCCCTCGTATGGGTTGCTCTGAGGGAAGAGCGCAGGCAGCTCATCTGTTATGGAAGCATTGCATCCCCCCATTCATCCGGTGTGAATCACTAAGGGCCCTCCCTCGTCCTCCGTGGGATCACATCACACCCTCGTGCTCTGCTGTGGTACAGGCTGCCTGACATGCCTCAAGGAGGGGACCTTCCTGCTGACTGCTCCCTTATGTGAAAGGGACGCCAAGGTCCTTGGTGGGGTTTGTTACACCCACCTGATGCAGATCAGACGGGGCCTTTGGGGTACATTCAAAGTGATTCGTATCTACGGTATGTAGAGTCCAGGAATTAGCGCTGGGCATGTTTGCTTGTAGGTGTTAATTCAGACAATTTCAAGTGTTCAATGTTGTTACTTGATTACCCCATTCATCACCATACATCCCTAGAAGAATTTTGCAAGCCCTAATTGGAAACCCCAAAATAGAATCAATAAGCGGGAGAAAGGTACTGGTATATCAGTCGATGGATGTCAGTTCAAGTTAGAAAACCAAAGCACAGCAGCAAACCACGGTACCGTAAACGCCCGGATATAAGACAGTGTTGAATAGTAGACAGGGGTTGTCTACTATACGGGTGTCTCTTATAAACAGGCTAGCCTCATTATAAGACACCTATTTGTGTGTACGAGATAAGACATATATGTCTTATACCGTAATCTCCCGGATACAGTACCCCCCCGCGGAGAAGACCCCGGGTCCTCTTTCCGGACCGAGGGTCTTTTATTCCGACCTGTTCTCGTGAGGACCCCCCTTTTTTAAATATATATTTTAAGACCCCCCTCCTTCATCAAATTTTCAAATTAATGTTATATTCTTAACGAATCTGGGGGGTTGGTGATGCTCGGCTGACTCGTCATCAGGCACAAAACGGTGACGCGAGACAGTTTCGCGTCGAATTCCAGTCAGGATTCGATTTTGCGTGGATTTTACTGTTGAGATTCGAATCCGCGTCAGGGGAAGAATTCAACACCCTCGGTAAAAGCTTGACTTTCCAGTGCTATGAGTGAATACATTGTGCTCTATGAATTCTTAATGTGTTCAGGGGTCTTAGTAAATATGCCCCTTGGTATTGTTCACCTAATCATTATTCACAACATTTCTGATAAGACCCCCGGGTCCTATATACGGGAGATTACGGTAATCGAAACTTCAATATATTATAGCGAAAGTTGAAATAACGCGTACATTTTTACCCTTGCGAAGCGCGAATTTCTCCACGCGCTGACCCAGGACCTACCAAATTTACCTCTGTAGGTGTTCTCCATGACGTGGCGTCCCGGGCAGTGGTTGCCGAAGTGGCACCTTCGCAACATCCACACTCATTATGAGGAACTCTTTTTCAAGAAGTACGGAAAATATTTCTAAGTAGTTTAAAAAGTTTCCATTTATAAGATTTATAAGACACCCTAAAGCATCCCGTTTACAAGATAACTCAAGCATTTTTGCCCGTGTACGAGATAAGACATATATGTCTTATATCCGGGCGATGACGGTAGCAACTTGTCCTGATGATGATCAAGGGGCTTGAAACATGTCATTGAACGAGCAAGCTGTGATTGTATTGTCTTTCAACTGTCTCACGTTACCGTAGTGTCAAAAGAGTTCATATCATACCTGTCACCAACGAGCAAGTAAAGTGGGAAAGTGAGGGGGTAAGAGGTACTGTACAGGGTCCTCGCTAGGATTTGAACCCCCTGATGCGTCAGATATTTTGTCTTTGCGTGTCTGATGCATCAGAAATTTCAGAAGTACTTGTCTGACCAATTAAAATAGAGTTTCTAGCGTGTAGATGCACGTGGGATAAAAAGTTGAGTCTGACTTTTCTTGACCTGTCACATTCATTCGAAGTACACACTGGTGTGATTCGGACTTCACTGGTCTCAGCAAAATCGCCCTAACACGGCAGATTCGCCCTGTCATAGCACAATATATCGCCCAATCAGAGCTTAATTCGCTCTGAAACGGCAGATTCGCGACGTCAGAGCGCAACATGTTCGTCCAATCATAGAATAACCCGTCCTGACACAAGAGATTCGACCTTACACAACACAGCAGATTCGCTTAGACAACAGATTCGCCCTGTCAGAGCATGTTCTGCGGGAAATCCCGGTACTCTAACATGTTTCGGTTTCAGACGAAACATATAATACACTTCTGATGGATCAGATGAAGTCAAAAAAATATTTCTACTCAATCAGATGAAAAAATAAATTATTCCTTGAAAACCAGATTAACTGGATAAAAATCGTCTGGAAACTAAGACAAACAGACAAAAATGTCTGATGTCGAGGACCCTGGTACTGTATGAGTGCAAGAAGATGAATGGATGCGTGAAAACATGCAGTTGGTGGGGACAGAGGCATTCAGATGATAACTAGAACAAACCGCTGCCCCTTGATAGCATGTTGTGCCCCTTGATAGCATGTTGTGCCCCTTGATAGCATGTTGTGCCCCTTGATAGCATGTTGTGCCCCTTGATAGCATGTTGTGCCCCTTGATAGCATGTTGTGTTGTAACCCGTCACGTACCGTACTGACCCCTCAGCAACACCTGCCAAAACCAAGCATACCCAAAACCCGGCTCTTCTCAGCGCTCTTTCCCTTCGGCCCTGCGTGAGCATGCGAGCTTGTGGGAGGGCCGTTTGGCAGCCTTTGCTGCATGCACTACTGCATTGCACCACCTTCGCTCCCCTCCACCCACTGCCTTTGCATGAGCTTCCACCATTCAACCTCTCCCTGTGGACGATTCTCACCTTGTCTCTGGCACCACTCACCGTGTCAGTGTTCTTCTCACTCGTCGTCCCACCAGCCCTGCCATAGCATGCGACCTTGTGCGAGGGCCAGTGCGCCTTCTGGCACTCCCTGTTGCAATACGCCACCTTGCCACACCCACAGCAGCCCCTCAGCTTCACACCATCACCCTCCACTCTTCCGCACCGTGGAGCACCGCACACTCGCCTCTTGGAACCCCCAGGGACTGCACTGCCTTGATGTGCATTACCAGCAACAGGTTTTGGCGCAGCAGCAGAGCTAGCTGAAGCATCAGTGCTTGGGGCTCCACCAGGTGTGGTAGCAGCAGAGGCAGCAGCAGAGGCAGCACCGGTGGCAAAAGCAGTGGCAGGGCGGTAGCAGGGCTCCCCCAGCAGCATCTCTCGCAGACATGCCACCAGATTCACCCCCCCTGGCCATGCCTTCAAATAAGCCGGCTCCTCCTCTTCCCTCTTCCCCGCTTTGCTGCTCCAACTACCACTGCTGCTGCTGCCACCACCACTGCTACTGCAGGCAGGCGCACCCCACTGGTGTTGGTCGTCACGGAACCTGGTCTCCAAGGACCGCTTGCACATCTCCATCGCCACCTCCTTGCTGCACTTGCGTGGCAGCCCGCCCTGCTTGTGCTGCTGTGACTGCCCGCTGCTGCCTGTGCTGCGTCTGCAGTCGTCAATGAGATCAGTCATGGCATCCGTCCTCCATGCAATCAGCACTGCAAAGCCCCAGTCCTTCACCTCCTCCCACACCTCCCCATCATCATCTTCCTCCTCCTCTTCTTCAACACCCCCACGCATCCCTCTCCCTCCCTTCCTCCCGTCACCCGGCCTCCCGCGTGCCTTATGCATCCCCGCCGTGCAGTCATCGCGGCCAACGCGGCCGAGCTCCTCAATCTGCAGCATGGCGTTGGGCCACGTGAGCGCCACGTTGAGCAGAAAGTGGATGGGCATCTCCTCCGCGCGCTCCCTCACCACGTGCTCCTGGACCGCCGCAGGAGTGCCGCGAGGGAAGGGGTCGAGCAGCAGCAGGTCCACCAGCTTGCAGATGTCGGGGGAGGGCGGGGGGAACACGGACACGAAGCGGTTCACCAGAGCAGTGGCGGGGCGGTAGGCGAAGTTGGCAAGGAGGGTGGAGAAGGGGATGTGGTAGGTGAACTGGCCCAGGCACTCGCGGCACGCGGCGCAGGCAGGGGGGTAGACTTGGTGGCCGGCAAACTCCACTAGGAAATATGCGTCTGCTGCACACCGCACCATGGGCATGGTTCTGTTCTGGGCGGGTGCTGCAAGTACGCTGGACATTGGGTTTCCTCCTCCTCCCCTCTTCCCACCACGCCCCGTACCACGTCCCCCCCCATGCCTCCCACTGCTCCCACCAACGTTCTCCCCGCCGTTTCCCCCGCCTCTCTTCCTGCCGCTCTCCCTGCCACATCTCCCAATGCCCCCCTGTCCATCCCCCGTGCCACTTCCTCTGTTCCCCTGACCCCCCTCTTCCGTCTCGTCTACAATCCCCAGACGGAAGCAGCGCACACTCCAATCATCAGGAAACTTTGCAACATCTTCCTCACCCCGTGGCCACTCCTCCCACTCCGAATCAAACTGCTTCCAAGTCAACGGTTTGGGAATGGCGCCGAGCCTGACCAGCAGGCTCGGAAGGTCCCGAAGCGGGTGGCGCATCGGCAGGATTCTGCCGTGCTGGCTCCCCTTGAAGCACTTCCTTGCTGAGATGAAATCTGAGCCGTAAATTCGCACCCACTGCAGGAGACAGCCAATCCGGTACGTTAACACCGCGATGATCGGGTTCGAGTTGACAGGGACGAGGGTAGGGGCGGGTGTGTGAGTGAGGCCAGCAGAAAATGAAGCAGCAGCAGCAATTTCAGATCCAGTTGAAGCCGATGAGGTGATGTCTGATGAGAGAGCCACTTGACCCTCCTCCCCCTCCCTTGTTACCCTCGCACTGCCCACCATGTCCCTGCTGAGCCACTCCCTCGCCTCCTCGGCAGCTGCATCTTCCACGCGTGCCTTGCCAGTGCTGTCAGCGTCGTTGCAGAACACCTCCCCCTGCTTGCGCTGCACGCCTTTCGACAGCACATCAGCAAATGCGAGGGCGAATTCAGTGGCGCCCACACCGCTCAAATACATGCCCTTGGGAGCGCTGTAGCCCACACGAATATCCACACTCGTGCTGCCACTACTGCTGCTGCTGCTACTGCTGCTGCCACTCTCACTGCAGTGGCTGCACCGGAACTCCCTCCCATCCCCCCCTCCATGCTCGAGAATCCAAGCCATGCCATCCACGTACCTCCGCCACACAGGCCCTGTCAAATGCTTCCTCCACTCCCCGTCCCTCTCATCCTCACCATCCTCCCCTCCCCTCCCGCCCTTCCGCCCAGCACTCTCATCGCGCCTCCCATGCCTCACCTCCCTGCCCGCAGCCTCACCCTCGCCCACCATGCACACCACCATGCCAGCCTTCCTTGAGGTCGCCACGCTCCTTCACCCCGAGAATCTGCACCAGCACGGACGCCGGCCCATCGCCCTTCTCCTGCCTGCGCGCCCCCAGCTGGGCCACTACTGCTGGAAAGGTGGGCGATTCGGAGTCTATATGCGCCTTCCATAGACTCACAATGCGGGGCAGCCTCGCTACCACCACAAGAAAGGTGGCGAAGCTGACAGCACGGCGGTAGGCAGCCCAGCAGCTGCTGCAGCGAAAGCAGCAGGACCAGGTGACAGAGGGAGGAGGTGCATGCGCTGACACAGGAGCAGTGACAGGATCGACAGGAGGCACAGCAGCAGAAGCAGCGGAAGAAGCAGGAGCAGGGGATTGAAGAGCAGGCGGTGCGAGGCCCAGCATAGCGGGCAGGCGGGATCTGATGGTGCGCACGTCCATCAGCACGCCCACACGCGGCTCCGCCATCCACTCGAGCACCATCGCCTCCGCACACAGCAGCGGCACGCGCTCACACTTCCACTCGTATCTCTCACGAGCTGACACCACCCCTTGCCTCCCCCCCAACGCCCCCTGTGGCAAAGGAACCCTGGAGGAGAACGCTTCCATCGCCTGCGCCTTGGCCCGCTGGGCTGGTGATGGTACCTGATTGGCTGGTGGCGCAAGCGCAGCGGATCGCTTGTGGTGCTTGCGGAGGGTAGTGCGGAAGGACCCCAGGCCGTACAGGCCCAGGGCGATCTGAGCGCGGGGGGACACCACACGCTGGAAGCAGCACTGGCACGCGGCCATATCCCACGCGTTGTGCACGTCCAAGTAGTGAACCATGTCCGCTGCCCCCAGCACCTGCACACCACCCTCCTGCCCCGCTCCTTGCGCAACACCCGCCGCCTCCTCTCGCTCGCCTCTCTCGCCCTTGCCCTTGCTTTCATTGGTCGGCGCTGATGCCTGTTGCTTCGTGGATGTTTCCTCGTGCTGCCTGCTCCCTTTCACCAGGGCGGCGTCCTCCTCTTTGCTGCGCCCTGCCTCCACACGGAGTTGCTCTGAGCAGCTGTGGCCACCAGGGGAGCAGGAGCCAAGGTAACGGGGTTCGGTTTTCCAGCTTCTACCTTCAAAACCCTCGGCCTTCCCCCTTCCTCCACCTCTGTTCCCTGCACCTCGCCTTGGCTCCTCCTGCTCCTCCTGCTCCTCCTCCTCGTCGTCCTCAAGGTGGTCCCACTTGCTGTAGTCAATGCGGGTGCTCGTACACGCAGCACGCGAGCCAGCAGGAGGAGGCAGAGCAGAAGAGGCAGCAGGAAGACGCCCCGCCGCTAACGCAAGAGCAGCAGCAGCAGGCGCATCATTCGTCCCCCGCTTACCTCCCACGTCACCCTTGCTTTCAAGACTTCCGCGCACTGCTTTCACGGGAAGCACTTTGATGACTGTACCCGATTTAAGCTTGGCGTGTTCCACGGTTGAGTCAGGAGAAAGATACACCACCTGTCCAAGGACCATGAAACGGACCTGCTGCCACTGCTGCAAATACGGCGACTGCTGCGATTGCTTAGTCTGCTGCGTCCCACCAGCCACGCCTTCTCCTACCACGGACGCGCTATTCTCCGGTTTCAGCTGCTCCCGTGTGTGACATGGCAGGTGGCAATGTGGCAAATGAGACTGAAACAATCTGGTGAAGACCGCTCGGAGGGACTCCTTTGGGGAGACGGTCAAGGGCACTTCCACGAGGGATGAATCGGACTGTTTAATTTCAGAACGGTCGTCGGTCGATCGTGAATCGCTGCTATGGTTGTCGGTTGTGCGTTGAACGAGATTACACGGTATTCGAAATCGGACGTCGAAAGCCATATTGTGCGCAGCTGCAGGCGAATCTATGCGAATAATGTATCGTCAGTCAGCCTGTCTGTTTCATATCGTGCTGTTTCAGCCGCACTAAGTCGACTGTCCTGGATCCGTAGTACCTCCACGTTCTTCTGCTTTTATTGCTATCAAATGTCTTCCGCAGATTTACCAATATCATCCTGCTCGCTTCCTACGTGAGATGCTTCCTACTGGTGTGTGTCATGGTTGTGGAGATGTTGGTGATGATATGTGAAATGCTACTTCCACGCACAGCATCTTGGGCGTGAGCCAAGAAATATCAGCTAACGGCTGGTTTCGCTGTGCGACACCCCAGGGAAAGAGAAAAAGTTACACGCCATTATCATGTCTACGATTAGTCCAGCGAGACTTTCAAGTGTTAGGCCCGCTGGCCTAAATCGACAAATGAATAGTAATTAAATGAGAATTGGTTGAGCAATTGTTGATAATGGGGAATACAAGCAAGGTCGATATAGCCTACAAGAGCAATTGTGGAAAAGCGTTGGAAACAAGTAATTTACGCTTCTGATGTGTCGAAACATCGAACTGCAAACGAGGCGAACTACAACGAAACAGCAGCGAGTCAATCGAGGAGGTTGAAAAAATGTAACAGCAGGAGGTTAAGCGAAGGTCAAAGGTAGCGCGAAAGGCAGCGCGACAGCAAGGACACACAACTGACTCGTTATTGAGCAGTTGCCCGAGTCGTCCCTGTACCGAACCGCAACAGCAACAAAATAGTTAGCTGCACATCTTCTTATTTTCTGTAATCATATAAAAGCTTTCTATTACTTTGCTACAATCATCATATCTTGTTCTCACATAATAGCCAAGCCTCAGATATTAGGAAAAAAAACCCTGAAATTCTTGATTTTCAGGGTAAATTTTTGTACCTACACTGATTTTTCAGTGTTGAGATTTTAGAGAGACTGATTTTTCTGCCTTTTTTTTCTCTAAGGGGACTGATTTTCCAGCCTTTTATCGAAGTGTACACTGAATGCACATTCCGAATACCTGCTGCAAAACACCCGAGATTGGTAGTTGTGAACCATGTCTCCGACTTATCACTACAAGCATTCAAAAATCCGAAAGTCTGTAGCTTGAACTGTCTCAGCTGTTAGTGAATTCGCTACCGAAGGGTGAGGTCTCCGGTTTGAAATTCGCGTCTGATATGTTTCGTAACATGTCATAAGGGTGAACATCAGGGTTTTCTTTGAGGACACCCTGAAAATTCAGACTTTTTTCCAAGTAGAACACTGATTTTCAGCCTTTCTCACATAGGGACCCTGATGCTTAAACGTCCCTAAAAGTGAATCGAAGGCCCTGATAATAGCTCAAAGTGGCTCAACGAATTCACAAAGAACGCTTCCGCAATTACATCATTTCTACCCAGAGTCTTAGCCTTGCAACGATCCTAAGGGCTTTTCTCAGCCCAACAGAAAGTACCGTATCACCCCAGATATAAACGCACCTGCGCTTATTACAGAACATTGATTTCTAGGGGGTGTGCTTATAAATGAGTCACGGGCATAAGCGCATGCGCTTAATGACAAATGTAAAAGTGCGTTTTAAGTGCACCAGATTGTGCATCTTAGTCTTGCAATTCCAGTCGAATCTATATGTTAGTGCGTCATAGATCAGAATCGCGCGAGGGCGATTGTCTGCAAGGGTGGGCGAAGACACGTCATTTCGTAGAGGAATGTGTCACCGGCCCACTGTTGCGAGGCACGGCATCCGAACGCTCGCAGCGCAGGAGCATAGTCGAGCCCTCTTCCCCCCACATTCGTGCTATCATTCAGCTTCAGCTTCGCGCCGTTTCGTTTTTTCGCGAGGCGGAACGATTATGTCGGCCGCTTCTCGAGAGGGTTGTAGGGTAGACTCGCTGCAAAGCGGAAATTGTTACGGTACTTAATCAGGAATGGGAAATAATATTATGCATGCGCTTATTATAAGTGAAGTTTTACAGGGGGTGCGCTTCTAATTGAGGATCAGCCATACGCGCATTGCGCCAGATATAAGCGCATGCGCTATTAATAGGCCTGCGGTTATTTCCGGGGCGATACGGTAGTTTGTGGGACTAGGAATTGGAAGGCAAACAAAGTAGAGTGCCGGTCTCAGAATACTAGCGGAATGGATTGGTCGACTAGTAGGGCAAGAGATACAAGTAGAAATGCCGTGGGAGAATGTAAACCCTATATCAGGCAACTCACTGTAGCCTAGCAAACTAAAATCATATAAATACTATTTGAATTACCCCCATAGGCTAAGTGAGGGGCATCAAAGCAAGCAAGGCAAACAAACGGTCAGAATACCAGTCAAGAAAAGCAACAAGACAAGCTCGGGGTGGATCTCAAGATCACCACGCATTCCGAGCACAAGCAAAAGGCCACAAGGCCAGTTCAATAGTTCACAAATATATATAGATGCAATGGCAAGCAGAACAAAACTAATACAAGCGGACACCAGTGATAACAAGTCCTAGCTGCACACAGAACGTGTGATGGTCACCAGGCCTCGGCGAAAATGTCAGCAGTAATGCCCTCAGAGGGCACGAAGTCCAGGCGCGCCTGGCCGCGACGCTGCAGCTCTCGCAGGAGGAAGTACCTCACGTCAATATGCTTCACTCTGCTCTCCAGTCAAGGCTCGCAACACAAGAGAATCATGGCCTTGCTGTCAGCGAGCAAGGTCGGAGCAAAGCTCGGCAGCTCACCAAGGTCAGTGCGCAAGAAGGTCAACCAGCGAAGCTCCTGCGCAGCCATAGCACCGACGTAGATCTCTGCCTCGGCACAGGACGTAGCCACAGACGACGACCGTGTAGACCTCCACGACACAGCTCCAGCTCCCAAGCCGAAGCAGTAACCCTGGGTCGAACACTGAGTCTCCACGTCGTCGGCATACGAAGAGTCGCATTGACCAGTCAGCACAACTGGCTCTCTCCCACCAAGCACAAGCCCCATGCCTGATGTAGTCGCTAGGTACTTCGCCACCCTCACAACAGCCGTCGAGTGAACATGACGGTGTCTCCCAGTTGCAACAAAACGAGAGAAAATGCTGAGGTGAAAGGCGAGGTGAAAGGCAAGTCATCAGGTACATGAGGCAGCCTACAAGCTATGGGTAGGGACCACTAGGCTCGAAGGGCTCGTCAGGAAAAGGGCCGGTGCCTCTGTGGTCTACGGCGAGAGGAGTGGGCTGTGTGGTGGAGTGTAAAGCATGAACCGCTGAAGGACCTGCTGCACCATGTGTGACTGTGAGAGTATAATGGTGCGAGCGGCTCTGTCCCTGGTGATCTGCATGCCGAGATAGCGATGCAGTTCACCGAGGTCAATGCACGTGTGTCTCTTTTGCAATTCAGACATCACCTCAAACACAGCTGTCCTGGCAGCTGTATCAAACACCAAGTCATCGACGTAGACCAGGATAAAGAACGGAGTGGGGACAGAGCGAACAAACAGCGACGGGTTAGCAGAAGAAGGGTGAAACCCAAGGTCACGAAGTGTGGAGCGCAGGGTGTCATGCCACTCACGGGGCGACTGGCGGAGACCGTAGACTGGTCGCCTCAGGCTCCACTGGGTCCCAGGTGGGAAGGTGCCCGTGAAGCCAGGAGGACATGGCAGCCAGATCACGTCGTGCAGTCTTCCCTGAAAGGAAAGCAGTGGAGAAGTCGAGGGAGTGTAGCTCGTAGTCTCTCTGTGCTGCTACGTGAAGTAACACCCGAAGAGTAGTCATCTTCGGGGTCGGGGCGAAGGTCTGAATGAAGTCAACTCTCTCGTGCTGACTGTGTCGAAATAACAGACTGGAATGACTGTACTAGCACAAAGTTGGATACAAGTAGTAAACCCTAATCTAGTGTACCCCCTAAGGTGTAACCCACTACAGCCTACAATCATATAAACATATAATGTTTGACAGACTGAAGCCCCTCGCCACATAGCGCGCCTTGA